GAAAATTGCTGTAATAATATTTTTTATCATGACTCAATACTTTCTTCTGATCCTTTGATTTCTTAGCGTTTCTCGTAATAAAAAAAAGTATTAATTTTAAAAAGGAAAAAAATGTTGCCGATAATGACATTAAAAGGCACGTCTATGGTTCCAACCCTGTTTGTACTCTTCATAAAAGAATGTTCAAATTTCAGGGAAAATGGCGATACGTTCACAACAGGTCACAGTAAAAATGAAGAAAGAGAGATAGTTAAAGCGATCCAAAATAAAGCCACAGAAGATATAAGGTTATAGATCATCAAATAAATAAATAGAAGAGAATAAAGTTAAGTTAAAGTCGTAGTTGAAAATTGCTTGCCTATCACAGACTATGGGTTAACCAGTTTGAGGAAGTAGCGATAGCTTTTTGAAAAACTTCGGGAAAAAATTCTACTTTTTTTGTTTGATTAGTGAACCAGCTAACCAAAGAATACTTTCAAAAAGCTGGAAGTAATTATGGAGCTTTTTTCGTTGCATAATTGATTATTTTTTAACCTCATCATTTCAGTAATTTAACAATCTGAATTCGATTGCGGCTATTTCTTTCTACGCACCTTATCAATAGGTAACTCTCTGAAAACCACAAAAAGTTGAGACAGACAATAGCGTCCAATTTAATTCTCAGATAGTGCATTTGGTTCAGCAAAAGCAAAAAAGTGCACAAAATACAGTTTCTAGAAAAGTAGAGAACAACTTCATGTAGTTGACATGCAACATCAGAAGTCCCATTTTTTAGAATTTTTCTAAAACCAAACTAGTTTTGTATTTGAATTTTTGGCCTAGAGAAAGAAACAAGAATAGCAGCGCCACTATTCACGGGAATTTCACAAGGGAAGGATACTTAGTGACTGTGGTCTTTCAATATAAAAATCACACAAGTGTGCCTAAAAACTCTAATTTCAAATCTGTTCTCTATTTCTGCTAAACGAGCGCCCGAACGTCATACAATATTCTATTTGCAAAAATAGCCTGCATTATGTATCATCTATTTCTCGAATACTTCAATGCACTCTACATAAGCGATAGAAAGCAAATTTAGCTCATTTGTTGAGAGTATATCTTATCACCAAAAGTGCGCTTTATTTCGCTTTGGGTGGTTTTTGAGTTATAGTGCATTAAATAGCAGATTATATGATACTTTTGGAAA